CCTGGGCAAACAATAGCAAACAAATTTACACCGTGCTATCTCCCCTTATCATTAAACCCTGAGTTTAAACCCTTTCAGTTGAGAACACAGCCCCTTTGACTCTGCTGACTTTACTTCCGTATTCCTTATCCTAGGCTAAGAAGTCAATTTTTTTGCTGCTAGACAAGCAATTGCTAGGCATTGGAAGTCTCCACGTGCCCCTTCCATAATAGAATGGTTCGATATCAAATGCTATTATGCATATGTAGGAGTTGATCGCAGAGGATAATGGGTCCGTTTCTAAGTTTACTCAGCTGTGGTCGGCCTGGATGGTCTATAAAGAATCTATGGACACGGCAAGTATTGCTTCTGCAGAGCGACCTTTTCGTTTATTCAATTTCTCTCTCTTTTTTGCCTTTATGATGTTTTATTTTGAACATGTCCTGTTGGTAGGTGTACCTTGCAGTCTTCTCCTATACCCCTTTTGTTTTCTTTTCTTTCGCTCCTCCTGCTCATTCCTTTTTTTCCTCTTCCTCTTTTCTTACCTGCTTTTTATAATTAATGTTGTTCCTTTAAAAATGATGTGAGGTGTATTTAGAGCATTGGCTGCCACTTTGCGCCTTTCTCTAGTTTATGTCATTTCCATGTTATTTACGACTCGGTTATTATTATCCTCTTTCTTATATTTACATTATGGAGCTCTTTGGTTTTTGTCTTCATTTGATGATCATGCAACTGTTACTTTCCTTTACATTCTTTTTGTTGTACACCTCACACTTACTTTAAATGCAATTTGAACAAAAAGGTAACACAGATTTGCAAGTATTCATGCATGCACAGTTTTGAAACATGCACATGTAAACTTGTAATTTCAGAATGTTTGCATTAAAAGCATACTTTAATTCTGTTTTAAATACATCTCAAAAAAGGGGAAATTGTTTAAGTAAAGCTGGCCATACACTTTACAGCCATCGCACGACTTTCATCTTGCGATGGTTCTAAGGTAATTAAAAGCTTGGACAGGCAGATCGTACTTGCGATCATCGCTGAGGGGAGGGCTTCCGATGACTGCAGCGGGCAGTGTGCGCTTGCGCACACCGGCCCGTGCGGCATTTGTCTTCCGAGCACGCCACAAACCCGCCGAAAATCTTACGATTTTCAGCTGGTTTTCCAACATGCTCGTAAGACAAAAGACGCGCGACTGTACAGTCGCACGCCTTCCATACACCTGACGATTATCATATGATAATCGGCAGGTGTATGGCCACCTTAAGCCTGCACAGAATGAACATTCTGATTTCTTTATGAGCCCAGTTGCAGTTCTTTCAGCTACAATCAATAAAATGTTCTAATGAACCCCTGACATTTTTAACTTTGTTATGCTGAGCTATGTTCTAGAGATTATGGTGACAGCATGGACAAAAATAAAAAATGATATAAATGGTACAGTCTATCAATAGTATGAACACAGCATTTTTTTTGTAGTTTCCCTGTTAAATTTTTTTTTTATTATCCTTTGATTGTGGCAGACGGTGACAACCCTGATGGACATGTATGGACATATCATTTCAAATGGACTATGGGTCCATTTAACCATTTATTAGCATTTGCATGAAAACAGGATTTTTTTCCTTTTGTAAAAAAAGGTCCGACCTATATGTATAAAAGCTTCTTTTTATATACGATTTTTATTTGGTTATCAAGTAACAAAGACAAATACAAACAGTAGTAGCAGGATAATTACAGAGCCATAAAGTGATTCCAAGCAAGAATTTAATAGTGTCTTATCCCCTTCCCAGAGCGGAGAATATTATAGAATACAGAATTTATATATGTAGAATAAATTATCTGTAAACAAATCATTGGTGTAACCTAAATTAAAAAATTAGTTAGCATCTCATTAGGGAGCAAGTCACAATTTTACCTATAATTGGGATAAAATTGCAGCAGCACAGTGACTTAGTGCTTAGCACTTCTGCCTTGCAGCACTTAGGCTCCGCAGTTTAAATCCCGATCAGGGACACTGTCTGCAAGGAGTTTGCATGTTCTCCCTGCGCTTGTGTCAAATCTACCATCTTCATCTCAGTGTCGGTTGGACCTCAACATTGCCCTGGTTTTTTGTAAAACCCCAAGGCAAAGAGGGGTGTATGTCCCAGTCTGCATCTGAAAGCACTCAACTTCTTCCTTTGAGTACAGGAATCCCGTATGGATTCCACCAGGTCAGCCGTTGCCTCCCTTCACCTGAGAGACTTTCGGGACCTCAAGGATGCCTACTTGTAAGTTCCTAATTTTCCTGCTCACCAGCGCTATCTCCTTTGCACTAGTGGTTTGTTGCTTTTCCCTATGGGTTGTTAACTGCTACAGGCCTATTCACCACGGTGCTTGCACTGTGCTGGCCCGGCTTCACTCTCAGGCATTCCCATTGTGGGGTGTTTGGATGACTTCCTGTTATAAAATACAGTTGGCTCAGCCACTATCAGACAACATCTAAAGGACTGTTCAGACTCTCCATCAGTTCTGCTGGATCCTCAACCTCGGAGGCCCAATTACACTTCATACCATTGCAAGTGAACATTCTGGCTGCATGGGACAAGAAAGCAGAGTTTCTGGATCTGCCTGTGTGTCACCCAAGGCCAGGCTGTCTCTGGCCTGGTGGCTCACAAACCCAGCCCTGGAGTCAGGGGAAGCCTTTCCTTTGATTTGTCTGGAAGATCCTTGTATAGCAGATGCCAGCTAAATGGGCTTTGGAGGAATCCTCATCAGGGCAGGGAAATTGAGCAACTCTGACTGATGACTCTGAGGTATGTCCTAAAATAGACAACGTACAGGAGATCTGCCTCTATATTTTGTGTCATCAATCAATTTAAAAGGGACACCATCTTGTTATTTTCATTACATGATAACAGAAATACAAAGAAACGACTTCATATGATTATTACCAAACCTGTTTATTGGCAGTAAAGAAATCATTCAGGCATTTTCACAAGAAAAGTATAAACAAATAGATTTACTGTACAATGAAAGACTTGTATTTTTGGGAATACATTATTTTGAAAAATAGAAATTTCATAGACATTATATCTTCATTACATTATATCTTCCCACCTTCCCAGAAAGCAAATCTGTCCTGAATAATTCTCCAGATTAGCAATTTATTTATCTGTTCTGCTTGACAATATACAAACAAAATAGGAATCTTATCAGCAAAAGTTTCCTGATGTCACATGAACCAAAGTTGTTTTCCAGTTCCATAGAAAAAATATGTAGTCTAATTATGTATTTATTCAAAATCCATCAACGGTATACTTAAATACAGGTAGTACCAGTACACATTTTGTGTCTTTAATTTAGCCTCCTGTAATGCCCTGTATTGCAGCATGCAGACTGGAAAGGAAGGTGCAACACCCTGAGCCAGTCAGGGCTCTATTGTTTGCACACTGCTATCACCCTAACACTGTGAAATTGCTTACAGGACGGGAAGCTTACAGAAACTACCTTGCTTCCTGTTCACTGTCCAATCAGCATACAGGAGGAATGTTAAACATGTACTTACAGTGACAACAGGTCCTTAACCAAGATCTGTTTTTTTAAGGCCCAACTTTATAACATTTATTTAGTTTCCGGGTAATGAATGGTTAGAACCTCTGCTAGTTTTTTTTTTTATATTGCAGTGCCCCCACATTTGACCCATTTGATCATTTACCTTCTTCCTGTCCAGGTGACAAAAATCTGTCCAAAAAACGTTTTTCAGATTCGCTTTTTCTAAACTAAAGGCTAAAGGACCTGACAATGCTGCTCGGATCATAACAATTGGTATCAGAATTAGAAATGTTTTGGAAGATAAGACATACAGTAGATGTATTTCAGTTGCATATTTAGCCATTTGCCTAAAATAAAGCATATTTAAACCCAAGAACAAGAATGAAATATAATGCAGCTTACCAGGCTTTGATTTAGTGGTTGCAATATTTTTTGTGGGTTTACATATACTTTGTTTTACGTGGGTATCATTGTTCTGAGATGTAGGCACCCATAAAATGCCTGTTAATACCATTTAAATCCTCCTGAATAGTTCCCCGATCCTATGTAGACTGTGCACCTGCCATTACCTTATCTTACACTATTCTACAGCCTCACACCAGAGTATCTAAGGTCGGCAAGGACCTGAAATTAGATATTTAGATGTAGGGAGATTTGTTTTAAGGGTTTGAGAGGTACTTGCAGGTATTTCTATAACTTTGTTATGGTTACATACTCAAAGTGGACCTGTACTTTGCCCATAATTTACAGAAGGAGCATTAGGCAGGCTGTACTTGCCTTCCCCGTGTTCCCCTAGACTCTTGATGCATGAGCGGCCAATCACTAGGCTTGGTCCCTGTCAAGCGGGGGGTAGGGGTAGTATGAAAGTCGATACTTAAAAAAGGAATTTTTGGCAGCTTGGTGACAGATCAGGGCACCTCAAGTAGGTAAATACAACATGCTTGACATCCCTCCTGTAATGTTACACTGTTATGCCACTCTGAAATGGGCAAAATACAGATTCACTTTAAATCGTGACAGGTTCTCTTTAAAGTTTGGCCAAAAAAAGGTAATGCCTTACCTCTGTTCATATGAAAAGGTGATAATTATATGAATATTGATATATGCTCCAAGACTGCTAATGACTGCCAGTTGCAGCCGGGATTGCAATGCCATTACTGGCAGACTGCTAGAAACAAATGATTATGTGAGAACTAATCCTTGGCTGCCTATTGGTCATGATTCTGCTCACAATACAATCAAATGTATGCATTTTATTCATAAAACAAATTCCAGTATTTCACTCCTTACATATTTCCAGTCACTTCCATAATTATACCGCACACAATTTATGCCTCTAATTTCATATTTTACATGAAGATATCTCTCATATATGCACATCTGCTGGTCCAAAGTAAAGCCAGTTTACAGAACCTTTAGGAATGACAAACATATTTCTAAAAATACAAATACCTATGGTAAAGCAGCAGCCGATCAACAAATTACTGTGCTTGTTTAAACGAGAACCTGGGAAACAAGAATATAGAAAAAGTATTATAAATGGCGATATACATTATAGATAGATGAACTGAAATAAAAACATAATATTTATATATAATATATATCAGTCATATTGACAATATGACAAATAATTAATGGTCATCCTGTCATACACAAATGGCTTCTTTCCCTCTGTCATGGACATGTTGTAATAGTGGTCTCTCTGTCATACATGTGCGGGGGGACAGTAATCATGGTTGCTCTTCCTCTGATGTACACATGTGTGGGTGGGAGTAATCAATTTCCCCAATGCAATGCATTTTTGGACATTGATCACTCTCCTGCATGCTATGAGGCGGGAAGATTTGAATCAAGTTCAATGCTGATGCTTTGCATTTCCACCGCAATGGCAAAGAATGAGTTTGTATAAAAGGGAAGTAGCAGTAAAAGTCTTTAGTTTCATATTTTACATTGTGTTATAACAGTGGCATTCCAAGGCCAAATCATACGTTTGTTGCTGCAATGCAGAGCAGTTAGTTTTTGGTCCAGTACGTTTATAAGGCACCAAGTCTTGGTTCACACTGAGCGATTTGTAGCGCTTTTTCTCCCCTAAAAAAACGCTCCAAAAATGTCCCATTAATTTCTATGGCCCTGTTCACATCTGAACATTTTGTCGTAATAAGCAAAATGGCCGTCGCTAGAAAAAGTACGAGATTTTTTTTTGGGCATATTACAGCTCGTTTTGGACTTATAGACTCAATAGGAAATGCTTGAAATGCGTTTGCTGTGTTTTTGCGCGTTTGCTCATTAACATCTATGAGCTACAATCTGCTTACAAAAACGCGCAATTTAATTTATGTCCTTAGATTGTAAGCCCTCAGGGGCAGGGCCCTCCTTACCATCTTGTCTTGAATTGTATTGTAATTGTAATGTCTTCTTTATATTGTAAAGCGCTGCGCAAACTGTTGGCGCTATATAAATCCTGTATAATAACAATAAAACGCACATAAACACGTGCAAACAACGTGCATCAAAAACGCGCAAAAAAAATGCTGTCGCCTAGGTGTGATTACATGAGGAATAGCAACAGACTGGCTAAAAATCTTCAGTTGCGTTTTTGGTTGTGATGTAGTTGTGATGCGGCAGGTATTTCCGAGCACATGACATAGAGCTTCTGAACAAGAGAAGGTAGGTACGGAACTGCAGGGATTAAAGGAGAACTATGAGGTCAGTGTTTTTCCCCATAGTTCTCCTTAGGGTAACGGGAGGACACAAACTAGCGTCCTCCCGTTACCCTAAGCTCAGTATACCGCGAGCTACAGCTCGTGGTATACTGAAACGCCGGAGCGGATCCCGACATCGAAGTCGAGATCCGCCCAGCTGCGTGAGTGACAGCTGGCTCTGCCTATCTAGAGGCAGAGCCAGCTGTACCATCCCCTCCCCGGTCCGATCCGCCAGTCAGCGCTGGCAGATCGGAGTGGGGAGAGGAGAATCCAGCCCCTCCCCCTGTCACGGCAGAGAGCCGTGACAGGATCGAGAGGTGAGCAAACCCGGTATGTGTTCGCTCACCTCCCGATCTACTGAGCCGACCTGTGACAGTCTCATTGTCACAGGTCGGCTAGAACTATGAGGTGAGTGGAAATCACTCACCTCATAGTTCTCCTTTAA